AGTGCTCTCCAGATTCCTAAATCACTGTCAATTCATCCCAAATCCCTCCAGTATTTTCCATTAGATATGGTAGTTCTCTGTGAGAAGTTTGGCATAATTTTATCATTTGTGGGGTTCAGAAGGCTCTTTAATTGTAGGTGAACTATAAATTACAGCAACTACTCCCAAATGACAAGGTATATTTTCCCCAAGCTCCACCACTGTTCACATTTGGGCATATTGAGTATTCATGTCAATTTTGGTCCAGATCCATCATTGTTTGAGTCCACAGTGCTCTCTGGAGGTAGGTGAACTACAACTCCCAAACTCAAGGTCAATGCCCACCACACCCTTTCAGTATTTTCTGTTGGCCATGGGAGTTCTGTGTGCCAAGTTTGGATCAATTCCATCGTTAGTGGAGTTCAGATTGCTCTTTGATTGTAGGTGAACTATAAATCCCAGTAACCACAACTCCCAAATGTCAAGGTCTATTTTTCCCAAGCAGTATTCACATTTGGGCATATTGAGTATTCATGCCAAGTTGGTCCAGATCCATCATTGTTAGAGTCCACAGTGCTCTCTGCAGGTAGGTGAACTACAACTCCCAAATGACAAAATGGCTCCCCCTTCCCCAATCCCACCAGTATTCAAATTTGGGCATATTGGGTATTTGTGTCAAATTTGGTCCAATGAATTAAAATACATCCTACATATCACATGACGATTCATGAGGGGAGCAAAATGACAGTTATGAAGTAGTAACGAAAATAATGTGATGGTTGGGGGTCACCACCACATGAAGAACTGTACTAAGGGGTCACGGCATGAGGAAGGTTGAGAACCACTGCATTAGAGCAATGTCGGAGTTGTGACCTTTTGTAAAGGCACTCAAGACTTGGCTGTTTGGTTGTGCATTTAAGTAATCAGATCTAATTTGCCAAATAGTCACTGTTGAATGTTTTTATGTTGAATGTTTTTATATTGTGTAAATGCTATTTTAGACTGTAAGTCACTTGGAGCACCTTGGTGGAGAGCGACTAATTAAGAAATAAAGTGAAGTGAAGTGCAGTTTTGTGGGGCCACAGACTTTCAAATTCATGATAGAATGGCTCATAAATGATTTTGTTCTCTCCCAGAGGGTTATTTTGGACCTGTTTTCTCAATTCTTCATTGTGAAATTTATGGCATTGTAAAGGCCAAGTTCTTATCCCAGAAACTCCAATTAAAGTCAATATGAGATGAGAAAATACAAAGAATAAAGGTCTTGGTCCTAATAGGGTAACATCTGTGATGCTGTTCGCTTTAAACGTAAAAGCAGCAGAGATGATGGCAAAAGCTCGTGGAGAAATGAAACACCAGTTTCATGAAATCTGATTTGATGCGTCCTTGGGTCTTTTTTTTTTTAACATTATTGTCTCTCCACCTCCTCCTTTCAAATTCTCGTTAAGCCGCTGCATAATTTTTTTCCTGTTTGGCTGCTTCCTTAGTGTTTCCAGAAAGAGAGAACTAAAGGACAGCAACTCCATGCTCCAATGACTAGGAACCCTTCGGTTTAAACAAAAATCAGTGGAGGATTTTTACAGCAGTTAGAATAATCTGACACTTCAGTTTGAAGAAGATTAGATATTTCTTAGCACCATCGTACACTTTTTATATTTTATGCGATGATTTATTCCAAATGGATTTGTGGTGGATATGAGACTATCAAGCACTTCTCGGGAGTTACCTTTAACATCTCAAGATCAATGATGAAGGCACATTTCTAGACTGAACATATCTTTTCACATCAGGACTGCGGAAAAACAGGACATCTTGTTTGCAGCACAGAGTTGAAGAAAGATATGAAGACATCTTCTGCTTCTAACATTAGCAATGACATCTTTGCAGATTATGCCAACCAGACAAAAACGACAGCATTTTCCCAGCCTGGCTGGCAAATAGCAATTTGGGCCATCACCTATTTATCCATGGTGATTGTTTCCGTTGTGGGCAATGGCACCGTCATTTGGATTATCTTGTCTCATCGACGGATGAGGACCGTTACCAATTATTTCATTGTTAATTTGGCTCTCTCCGACCTACTCATGACAGCTTTGAACACCGTTTTCAATTTTATTTATGCTAGCCACAATGTCTGGTATTTTGGCAAAGGATTCTGTCAATTTATTAACTTTGTTCCTATTACTGCCGTGTTTGTGAGCATTTACTCTATGACTGCTGTTGCGGTGGAAAGGTAAGACATTCTTTGATGAAGAATTTTGCTTTCAGACCCAAATGTTCCTGTCTATATTGTTTTCTTTTCAGTGTTACTACAGAAAACGAGCAGAGTCTCCTATTTAGAAATACAGATTTACACATGTAAATTGTTTCAAGTAGATATTTATCTTAGTATGTGAACACTAATAGTGTTAACTTGGATGTGTGCACTCACAATGTGAACTCAATGGGTTCAGTGTATTAGGAGAGTTTTGTACCTACTGAAATTAATAGGACTTTATTATGAGTAGATATGCATAGGTTT